AGCGGAGTCGTGTGGAGGTGGAGGAAGCCGGCTCACCTGGGCGAGAGGAGGCCGGGGGGTGATTGATTCATCAGCGCAGGCCTCGGTAACGAGACGCGGGGGCATCGTCAGGCGCGTTTCACAGCTCACGGGGTCTCTGAGATGCCCCGAGGGGCGTTGTGGTGGCTCGTTTACATGGAAAAGGCTCCTCCACACCTTGTGCAAAGCTTTGAAATGCAATTGATTTCTGACAGTTCAATTTCTGTACCTTACATTGGAGGGGTTTTAATTCTTCCCTTTTTATTGGTATAACGCATCAAGTGTGAAAGCAGGAACTTTGTTGCTGAAGGGCGCAGCTGCTCTGTCTGTTTGTTTGCTACCTAAAGTTCCCATCTAATGTTTGTGATGTACAGCTGGCAGGTATGGCAGTAGATGTGATGTCACGAACTGCAGATTATAGCTTCAGGTAGGAATAAGATGCAAGAACAGATGGACTTGCATCCTGCTTTCAAACAAATGTTCTTTTAGTAAGAACGAAGGTGAGGGAAAACATAATGAGAGGCATATTTTCTGTGTTTAAAAAAATGTCAGTTTGCACCTTTCACTTTCCAGTAAAGGGAATTTTACAAAAACGTACAAAGAGCAGAAATGGTTTAATTAAAACACTTTGTAGAAAATGTTTTTTTGAAGGTGACCGAGGATGCAATAGATTTCTGTACAAAACAGATCAGTCCTTCTGGAAGAAGCCCCAACATTTCTAGAGTTTCAGGTAGAGGGAGGAGGGCAGCTTTTTTTTTTGGGAAGCGCCTGTTCATTTGGCTGCAGTCAAGGGGCTAAGTTTATCTCCTCTTGAGTTTGATCGTTGGTTCAGAGGAGTTCTGATCAGCCAGCTACCCCTTCTGACAGGAGAAGGAGCTGGGGTGCTGCTGGCAGCTCTGACTGGCGCTGGCAGAATATATCTCAGCTTTTCTGCCTCAAAATTACCTAGGGCTTGTAAGGAAATAATAAAGTTTAGCTAAGGTTCATGTACAGAGGTCTCTTGTGTTATATTAGCCTGTTTCACTGATTGTGTTCTTGTGAACTGTTTTTGAAAGGCTTGACCTGTGTCACTGCATGTGTTTTTTGGTTACAAGGCTTCCAAGAGAAAAGGCACAAGCCAGACTGACCCCGCTAAAGGTTCACAGAGAGAAGTAGGAAAGTTTCTCAGTCAAGTCTAAGAGTAGGAGGATTAGTGGACTCCATCTTGACGGGGTAAAAGCCTGTGCTCTGTCAAGGGTGCTCTTGAGCGCTTGCAGATTAGGTGAACAGGGCCTCTTGATTCATGATGCAAGTAGAAAGAACGGTCAATCGTATTTTCTGTCCAATACCAGCCAAAGGGAAAGGAAAGAAAAATATACGTGATTTGTAGTTTTTTTTGTTCCAGGTCTGAATCCTCTAAAGTGACATAAAGAATCGTAATACGTGTATCGCATGTAATGAATTATGTTTACGCTACTGTATATACTGTAAGCAACAAATGCAGTGCTGCAAAGTGCTTAGTGTGGGAAATGTATTCATTCCCCACCTTTGTCTTTCCAGAGAAAAAGTGAGCAAGGAGAAAAGCGTCTCACCCCAGGCTTGTGACGAGCCTGTGATAGAGCCAGGATTAGGCTGTTGATTCTTGCAGGTGGATGTTCTGCCACTGCAGTCCCTGCCTGGCTCTTGAGTGGGATGGTGACGATAAGAAAACAAGTCTCACTTGGTCTCCCTGATCAAGTCGCCCATCCCCTGTATTGTATGCGGCTGTCTGCCACCGGTCCCTGGAGTTGCACGCAGCCTCCAGGGATGCATCGCCTCTTCTCCCGCCACTCAGCAGCAGTGAGGCACTTTCACAACTAGTCTGGCAGAGCTTCCAGCAAGTTTTGGGTGCTCTTGGTGTTGCAAAAGCTCTTTTTAAACCTTGCTTGTTTATATCTTCTGTTACCCCTTGCAATCTGCCTACGCTGTGTTATGTTCAAAACACTTGCAGCGGGAGGGGCTATTGCTGTGATTAGAATTGACTTTTGGTGAGCACATGCGCTCTTGTCTCTGTCCACCTGTTGTTTCTCCCTGTAAAGCCTTTGCGACCATGAACAAATGCTTTGTGGTGGGTGCCCGAGGTCTAGCGCAGTGAGTTACTTCTGGGTCTGTGGCCTGTAGACACTGTTGAGTTAGAAATAGCAATGGAGTCAGCTTGTGTTCGCTTGCTGTGTGATTGCTTGAGCTGTTGGCTGGGGGCAGTGCTAGCAATGCATCGTTAGCCAAGGAGCAATTAAAACTTGGATTGTTAGGTCCCTTGGGGCTGTAGGCATTGGATCACTATGTCCTCCTCAGATGTTACAGTTGCTGTTTTGTGTCTTGGCAGGGTTCATCAGTCATGGCACGGAGGGCCTTGAAACTTGCCTCATTGGTGGCAGCCACTTCTGGCATCTGTCTGTATGGCAACAAGTTCCTGGATCCCAATGATTTTGGAGTTGTTCGTGTGGGGCGAGCCATTGCCACAGTAAGTTTCATCCTAGTAACGTGCAGGAAGATTCCTAGGTGGGTAAGGGGATTGGAGTTCACAAGAACTTGGGATTTCCTGCATCCCCTCTCTGCATTTCCAGTTGGCAGCTGGCTCTGGGAGTCAGAAGGTCAATAGGGAGCTCTTCAAATAGTTGACGCAGTGGGGAGAAAAGAGGTGAAAGCATAGAGGGAATTTTTTGCACATTTTGGAAGAAATGGAGATACTGGGCTGCAGAGAACTGTCTCTGCTTCCCTGGGTTGGGTGGGACCTTCAGAGCAAGGGATGACTTTGGGCCCACATCTTCATCAGCCACCCAGGTACGGTATGCTGCTGCCTTTAACAGTGACTTAGTTCAAACCATCTTGTCTGCATATGCCATTTTTTACGTTGGAACATTTTATTTTAAGGATTGTGCTGGTTGTATTGATATGCCATGGTAGCCATTGCCCTGTGAGCCTTAGTATGAGAGATTTGGGGAGAGGAGGTCAGGTGTTCTGAGGATCATTCTCAAAGCAAGGGCAAAGTGAGGATGGGAGATGATGTACTTCTGAGATTGGATTGGTTTCCAGATTCATAAAATAAACACTACATCTGCCTAGCATCACTGCTATTTCACCCTTGTGTTGATCACTGCTCCAGAAAACCTGAGAATGGAGACTGCCAGCCAAACAGGTTGATACCTTCTCCTTGAGGATACTCCCTGATGAATCCATGAGCAGCCAGGAACAAGGAGAGCAGAGACTCTGGAGGCGGTTATCAGTCTCCCTGTACCTCACTTGCATTTTACATCTGTCACTTCAGGCCACGATCTCCGTAATTTACAGATCCCCAGTGGTAAGCAGCTGTCTGTCTGCATATTCTATGACTTTTAAGTACTTCATTAATGAGTTTTATAGGGAGTCAGCTCCTGAGGGCAGATGCAATAAGAAACGAGCTCTGTGAGTTGGCTCAGGTGCCATGCCATTTATATGTGCAAGCTGCACCATGATTAGTGTTTATTTTGAAAGGGTGAGGGCAGAAATACAAACTGTAATCTTTCTTTCTTAGCTAATGAGTGCTAAATAAGTCCTAAGCTTTGTGCTCTGTCCCTGACCATAAGGCAGTGCTGCCTGGTGGCAGGGAGCAGCTCTCTCCCTTGTACTGCACAGAAAACTGAGGCATGGAGAAGGAACACAGCTTATCATGGGTGGAGAGGAATCTGCTATCCAGGCTGTTTGGGCTCTCCAATCTGCCCTTGAGTTCTGCCTGCTTGACCAGTGTTCCTCAGTCTTGCTTGAAGCCAGTGTTTTTTGTGGCTATCTTCTGTTTAAGGCAAAAATAACTGAGATCTGTACAGTGATGAAGCTGTTCAGTTGATCTCTGTTTTGAGTGAGGGTGAGAGATTACTTTCCTGATTAATAGGAAGTAGGGGAAAGGAGATTTTCTTTGCTTTAGATGCTGGTGAATCTAAAGACATACTTGACTTTCACGCCCTCTGCCTTCAGGGAAGTCACAAGTGGTGGGCTGTAAAGCACTTCACTGGCCCTGCTCTTAAATGCATTAGAGGGTTCTGCACCCAGAGCTGCAAGCAGTGACCCCTAAAAGCATGCTGCCAATGTTCTGTGTTCTGTAGGTGGTGGCAGCAGGTGTTTATATCTGTGTGTCTGTATACTTTTCAAACAGAATTTTCTGTCTCTCTGAATTCTCTGTTCCCTCTACTATACAGGACTGCATGTGGTTAGGTTGCTCCTTTAGTCCTGCTGCACCAGTGACCTCTGCCTTCCCAGCTTGGGGGCTGTTCCTTGTTGGAAAGGCAGAGGTCAGCTCTCATCTGAGCACTGGCAGCCCAGACTGCTCTCATTCCTTAGCCATAGACTGGGTGAAGCCAACAGAGCAATTAGAGATGTTCATTTCTAAGAAGCTCTGCTTCTTGGGCTTGATCTTTTTGTAAATGAAAGCCGAGAACTCTGTAACAAATAAGCGGCTTTGGGTATTGGTGGCATGTACGTGCACCTAAAGAGTCTGTCCTTCAATCTAGCCCTGCCCAGGCTTCTTGTCTGGATGCTTGATTAAATCATTGGACCATAGCCTGGCAAAAGCACAAAAATTTAAGAACAAGTTATGGTGTGGCAAACAAACCAAAACAAAAGCCTGGAGAAAAGGACACACGGAGGTCAAGAAATCTGACCTAGAACTACAGGATTCTGGACAGATTTCATCTGCGTTTGATAAGAAAGATTTGAGTCTGCTTGTATTTTAAGCATATGTATTTTAAGTAGTCCTTTGCAGACTTTGGTAAGGAACTTGAAGTGCACTAGCAGAAAATTTCTTCTGAGCTTCAGTTTAGGGAACTGGCTCTTGCTTATGTGTGAGTAGACAACTGTTCAGAGAGAACATTGTGCCATGACCTGGTGAGAGCTGAGGATAGTTTAGGCGTGGTGGAAGAGTGTAAGGTGTTGAGCAGTCATTGATAGAAAGTGGATGCCCAAGTCTTTGGGACGTTTAACACTGGACTCGGTATAAAATCAGTTAAAGAAATAATCTGGCATTTGTAAGGGCAGGGACTGTTGGATCTGGTAGGTCTTTTTATGTCTCTGAGATTCAGTGTCACACTGTAACATGAATAACAGCACTAGTCTTGGATGAGAATGAAGTCAGTGGCCTGGACAGTATTGTGTTTCAGACAGTTTCTGTGTTCTGGTAAAATTAGAAACCTGGCAGAGCAGTTGTGCATTTGCCGTATTTCTTTGTGGATATCCCGGTTGTTCCGGGTAAGTAGAAGGAAAGATCTGTGCTGTAGCTGGAGTACATCTCAGACACAGCAGGGATTTGGCAATGTCAGAGCTGCCTATCAGGATCATCATAATGCTAATTTAGTGTTTAAGATTATGATGTAATTAGCAACTGCTTTATTAATTCCCTCTTCCTCTGTAATACAGGCCAATCTGTTAGCTACTTCTTTTCAAGTTGGAGGTGATAATTACCCTCGTGGACCAGAGATAAAATAAGAACCAACTCAAGCCTTCGTGCACGGCTGATTTGAACCTCCCTCCACTTCAAAGTTGTTCTTTGAGATTGGGAAGATGCTTTGAAAATTTTTCTTCTGAATGTGACTCTGTGTAGCTGTACAGTTCATGAGTTCACCAGGGGCAAGAGAGCCTGAAAAGCTCAGTTTCCAATCTGGAAAACAAGAAATGTGAGAAACCTAACCTCAATGAGGAAGGAGTGTGTCTGTCTGTAACTTATTCCCCTCTTTGATGCATCTCTCAGCTTCAGACTGTTTCCCCATTGGCAGTTCCAGCAACTTTGTCTCAAACCAGATTTGATCCCCTTGCCTTCCTGGCTTTCATGTTACATCAACTGTGCTTTGTGCCCTTACTAGGTGTGTTTGTGGTGAAAGAGGGGATAGTTGCGGAAGACCAGTCTTCCAACCCTATCAGAACCTGATGTCCTTGTTCTGCTAGGGATGTATCCAGTAGATAGTATCCTGTCCCAGAATGGGATCCTACCCCTTCAGTAAGGAGGTTTGAGGAAATCTGACTTTAGATCTGAGTTATGCAAGTGGTTATTTATGGCAAGGATCTTTAAGTTCAGATGACAGGTTAGTGGACAGGTTCGTCTAGGTATACATTCCCTTCTCTCTTTTCAAGTAAACTTTATGAATGTGATGAGGATGTTTCTGTTCTGTTTGCTGATTGTGGAAAGAGAGGAACTTTAGTTGTAGGATAAAATTGTGAAATACCCTACATCCATTTTCAGAAATCATTAAGGCATTTAGGAATCTAATTCCATTGTCTGTGGCTATGTTTAGCTAATAAGCTTTAGTTGGATCCCCATATTGTTTTGTAATTGGGTATCTGACCCTTCACCCCCCTAGTCCTTTGGGCAGTTGAATATTCCCAAAAGTACCACTGCTTGTGCTAATTGGTGAGCAGACTGAGCTCACTGTGCACCAGTGTGGTTAAGCAGGTTGGAGGTGTGAAGATGAAGCATGGGATAACTGGTGGGTCACAAACAGGGTCTTCATGGCCTCTTATTGCCAGCACCAGACCTTATTGTGGAAGCTGACAGAGAGTGGGAGTCCGCTGTGCAAGGTGCTGTGCAGAGGTTATGAAAATGCTTTGAGCTTCTCAAATGGAAGATAGTATAGGAGCACCAAGTGTTGGTTATTTTTAATAGCTATATGTCAGTGAGGTGCCTACACTGCTTTCTATAAATGTTCATTGAAATTTAAATATTTTCATTTAATTTCTTATGAGTTTGTTACCGTAAACTCCAGTGTGGAACCAAAACTTTGGAACCTAAGCTACATACATTCTTCCTAACAGAAGGTTTGTTGCTGTGATCTAGGATAACTGCAGAGCTTGCTCAACATTTCTGGTTTCATTTGCAGACGGCAGTTATCACCTATGACTACCTCACCTCCCTTCGGAGTGTCCCATACGGATCAGAGGAGTATGACTTCCTCAAATCACAGGTAGGTTATACCACTGGACTGTGTTCCTTGAAAACTGCGAGGCATGGGTGTGTTCCCAAAGCCACAGCTGTAACGCAAACCATCGAGTTGTCAGCTTAACAATTCAATATGCCTTCTACCAAATTGGTTGCAGCAGAGGCAAACTGTGCTGCATATTACATAAGGTTCTTGCAGGACCTGCATCACCCAATGGAGAAGATCCCTCATCGATAGCGTCCTCATGCAATCAGTGCTCGCTTATGTCCATTAGAGATTCAAGTTCTCGGTGTGTGGGATAAGACACGGTTGGGCTCTGTTACTGGTTCTCTTCTCCCCAGACTGGTTGTGTGGAGGTCAGCTGCTGGGAGGGGACTGGCAGTGGTTTCTTAACCTGCTTATGGGTTGGTAATGGCCATAACATGAAGGCTGAAGGATTTAAGTAAAAGGAATGTGTTGGAGGGGAAATAATAGGGATGAATCAGGCTTGCAGATGTCTAAAGAAATCAGGATTGGGCAAAGAAGGGTACATCTCATTGCAAAACATACTGTTGTGTTTTGATATCACTAATAAACATGAAGAGAAAAAACATTTCTAGTGAGAAGTAAGATAAGTACGCCTGTTGCTCCTCTCGGTCCTGCACTGAACCTTTCATTCCAGCCTACAGCCCTACAGTATCTTGAGCTGTGAGTGACACTGATTTTTAGTTGAGTGCATGTGGTATATGTAGCCAGGGTCTCTCTGCTATTCCAGCTCAGGGCCTCTTTGGAGTGGGAAATACAGCTTGTGCTGAATTAGTCCAGTCTGCACGGTGTGTTTGAAGTAGGGTCTTTAACCTCATTTTTCTTTCTAGTGCATGTAGGATTTAGGCCACTGGCATGCTTGTAATGCATGGGGTGGTGCTCTCCAGTGACTCTCAGACTGGAGGGACTCAAAAGCTGGAAACAGCAGTGGGTCAGGTGGTATTGGACTCCAGCATGCTTTAGTATTCCTCTGGCAGAAAATCCACATCATCATCAGTATGGTCTTAGAGAATTTGGGTTAGTTTGCAGAGAGGCTTACTTGGGCTTGTTCTCATCCTCTCCTGTCTAAGGATGCTAAATTGGTCTGCTGTAGCTCCTCATCCCAGGTGAGTGGTATCCCTGGCATAAACTGGGGATAGATGTGTTGGAGTCTGCAGCTTCACTTTCCATCTGCCCATGTCTCTGCCACATGCCTTTGAAACCTGGTTTGCAGAGGGCTGCTTGTAGCTTTCTTGAGTGACACCCAAGTTATGGAGTTATCAGTGCTGTGGACAGCTTGTCATTTGGCAGCAGTTTGCAGCAGCCCTTGCAAATTCCTGACCTTTTGCTTTGTCTCTCCATGGCTTCATTAACCTCTGTCATGCAGGTTTTGATTGTTTGTCAATTCATGCTCCAGGCAGCCAGAAAGCCCTGTTTCCTGGCGCTGCACAGAGCTGTGCCCTCCCTGCTTGGCAGCCAAGACTAGCTGAGTCAGCCTCTGCGAGTGGCAGAGTTAATGGCAAGTGCAGCATGTCAGCATGACAAAAGAGGACTCTCTGGCCTGGCCAGCACTAGCCTTTGGCTGCATGAGGAGGAATGAGCTGGGAGATAGAGAGGAGGAAGAAGGTGCAGGCATAACATGAGTTAGCAAAACCCGTTGGCCTGTGGAGGCCTGTCTGTTTCTTGGCGGGTGTTATGGAGGGCCACCACTGAGCCTGACAGTGATAGCCCTTGTGGGTTCCTCAGCAACTTCCCCGTAGTGCTTGTGTTAGCAAAGCATCTGCTTGGCAGGGGAGAATTTTTTGGGCCTGGGCAATTGGACGCCAAACCCTTTATCTGTTTATTGTATCAGAAATAGTGTGGCCAGCAGGACTAGGGAAGTGACTGCCCCCTGTACTCAGGTCTGTTGAGGCCACACCTTGAATACTGTGTTAAGTTTTGGGCCCCTCACTACCAGAAGGACATTGAGCTGCTGGAGAGTGTCCAGAAAAGGGCAACGAAGCTGGTGAGGGGTCTGGAGCACAAGTCTTACAAGGAGCGGCTGAGGGAACTGGGGTTGTTTAGCCTGGAGAAGAGGAGGCTGAGGGTAGACCTTACCGCTCTCTACAGCTACCTGAAAGGGGATTGTAGTGAGGTGGGTGTTGGTCTCTTCTGCCGAGTAACAAGTGATAAGAAGAAACGGCCTCCAGTTGCATGAGGGGAGGTTTAGATTGGATGTATGAAAAATTTCTTCCCTGAAAGGGTTGTCAAGCATTGGAACAGGCTGCCCAGGGAAGAGGTTGAGTCCCCAGTCCTGGAGGTATTTAAAAGATGTGTAGATGTGGTGCTTAGGGACATGGTTTAGTGGTGGACTTGGCAGTGCTATGTTGACGGTTGGACTCAATGATCTTAAAGGTGTCTTCCAACCTAAATGATTCTATGATTCTACCTCAGTGCAGCTCTAAATGGATAGCAATCAAGTCTTTACCATCTTGCAGCTCTTTAACACTGTGGGAGCTGATTTTGTTGATCTCAGACTAGTTAAGAAGTTCCCTCATTGGAGCTGGTACTAAAGGTTAGTCACTGGATGAGGCAAGAGGATGTGAATGCCCCTTCCAAGTAAGTGTTGTGTGTGAAGGATACTTATTCAGACGTTGCTTCTACTTGCCTCTATCCTGGATAGATCTCTGGTGCTCTCAGCTATTCATTGTACTCTCTTGGCTTTCTGTCCTTCGAGTGAGACCAGCTAAACCTCCTCTTCACATGCTGAGAGTTTGGAATTTTCTTCTAAGCATGTTTATGAATTGGTTACTGATTGCCAGCCTCACTTCTGGTGCTGTGCTTAGAATAAAGATTCTGTGAGGCAGGGATTTGGTGCCCTTCAGACTGCAGATAGTGCCAGCAGGTCTGGGTGCAGCTGCTGTGCCTCTGTCTTTGGTGAGGGGGTGCAGCTGCATGTGTGTCTGGGCTTGTAGCTGGGAGTAGAAAAACACTTTTTCTGTGCATCTCCTCCTGGTACTTAGCATACTGGTGGATGCTACTCCAGTGAAATGATAATGCTTAACTCGTTCTCCATGGATTCCCAGTCAGCCATTAAACTGGAGCCTCTAAATTACCCATAGCCACAGACGAGAGATCGGAAGCCTCAGTGGCAGCACCAGTCCCTGAGCCTGTTGGGGCCAAACAGGGACATAGTCATTAGGAAACAATTAAATGCAAAGCAGATTAAGAAGGAAATGGGTTCCCCAGGGATTTTTAGCCAGGTTCCTACTTATCTCCAGGGAATTCTCTTCAATCTTACTCTGTTTTTCTGTCTCTCATGGGCCGCTTCTGATGCTAATGCTCTCAGCCAGTCAGTTCTCAGCACCTTTTTATGGCCAGCAGATTGGGGGTGTATTTGCTACTCTCCATGAGGCCCGAAGCAGTAGCTGGAAATTCACTGCGTATCCCTGGGGTTGGTTTGCCTCTCTCTGGTTCTCCCATCAGCCAGGAGATATGAGAATCCACCTTCCTGATGGTACTCACAGCCCTTCCTCAGCAGCAGTCAGGAGAAAAGATGTCTTATCTTTTCCATTCCTGCCCTTGCCTGTAGCAGGGATAAACCTGCTTAAGTGGTCAGGCTTTATGTCCATCCCAGCGGTTGCTTCATCTCTCCACTGGTGGCTGGACTGCATAGGTAACTTGTTCTTTTTCCTGAGTTAAGAATCCTTTCCTGGGGTGTCTGCCCTTTTCCTGCACATGATGATAATGCCAGTGTACTGATGTCAAGGCCAGTGGTAGCCATGGTGGGCCCCAAGACATTGGGCATCTGTGGGTCTAGTGTCAGGAGCGTTAGGGGAGATAGGAGCTTTCTTCGCTTCATGTCTATTTCATTAAATGATTCTGGCCATCTTTGCACATGTAAGCTTGGGCATTTCTTCTTGTTTCTGCCTCTGCTTAGAATCACAGAATCATTTAGGTTGGAAAAGATCTTGCTCAGTGCCATTTCCTTTCTAAACAAACCATTTTATTCTGTAGAGGGCTGCATTTCTCTGACATTCTTCCACCTCCTTGAGTGTTTGCCTCCTTGGGTGTTTGTGTCCTCAGTCTCAAGTCAGCCTACCCTGTGACATTTCCAGTGTGCCTCTCATCATAGCACCTGGATGTCTTGGTTGACACTTCCTATATTGCTGGCATCAATTTCTGTTGATCCTGCTGTCAGTCAGGAGGTATCTCACAACATGTGGTTTGTTTAAGGGCTGGCATAAATGGGCTTCTGAATTGTTGTCAGTGTAGTAAGAGGATTGCAATGGGTTGGTCATCTTGCAGACTTCAGCACTAGTGGCCACAGCTGAAAACGTTGAGCAGAGCATTTTTTTTCTTGTTTTCCTGTGTAAGACAAAAGATTACTGTCGTGAATGTGGATACAAGGTGGGTTTTTTTTTTTTCCAATGGAGATGAGATAGCAAGGAGAGAAAGGCTCTATGGTCAAGGTGTCTTGGGAGACAGTGGGAATCCATTCTTGAATTAACTTCGTTGGCTACAGAATTGCTTTGTCAGGGAAAAGCCATTTGGGGAGGTTAATTAGCTTTCCTCCTTTTGAGAGTAGAATGAGGATGTTCTCATTCAAACTCCTGGTTATTGGGCTGTCAGTATCTGGGCAAATATTTGGAAGGTATAACCTTGCGCCATCATTACACAGAATAGGATTTTTTGCTTCTTGGAAGCTATTCCTGGTGTTTGTTGTGTTTGCTTCTCATGCTGGGGTGGGTGTTTTAAAAATGAGCTGTGTCTTGTAGTGAAGTTGCCCGACTGAAGGATCCTGGAAAGAATGAGTGGGTGTATGTGTGCGTGTGTGTTTAAAAAATAACCTACAGTTTCTGGATAGTTCAGACCAATGAAGTAGCCTGTGTCTTTGGACTTCCTGCTTGATTCAGTATGACTGTGTGCCTTAAATAATAGGAAGTGATGTCCTAAAATAGTTTCTTCATGATGGAGGTGGACTGCATCTGCAGAGAGAAATCCCCAGGAGCTCTCCATGGCGTTCTTTCAAAAAGGCAACT